CCCCCCCAAATGACAGCTACCCAAGCCCCCTGCCACGGGGCCCCCACCCTCAGAAGTTCTGTCTTGTCCGGGTTCAGCCTCAGGCTGTTCTCCTGCATCCATTCCAGTACGGTTCCCAGGCAGCGCTGAAGGTACAGGACAGCATCACCTGCAGTTGGTAAAAAGGAGATGTAGAGCTGGGTGTCATCCGCATACTGGTGACACTACGCTCCCCACCCCCTGATGACACCAGCTAGCGGCCTCATATAGATGTTGAACAGCTTTGGGGAGATAATCGACCCCTGCGGAACCCCACAATTGGAGCTCCACGGGGCCGAGACCCTCTCCCCAAGCTGGACTCTCTGGGGACGGTCCTCCAAGAAGGAATGGAGCCAGGCTAGCGCCAAGCCACCAATTCCCAGCTCGGAGAGCCTCCCCAGGAGGATACAGTGGTCAACGGTATCAAAGGCCGCCGAGATGTCGAGGAGGACCAACAGAGACCCTTTACCCGTCAGCCTCCCTCAACAGGTCATCATACAGGGCGACCAATGCTGTCTCTGTACCATGATGCGGCCTGAAGCCCGACTGGAATGGATCCAGGGCATCTGTTCATCCAAGAGTGCTTGAAGTGCACTCTTTCATCCAGGAGTGCTTGAAGTGCACTCATTGGTACACTCTTTAAAACTCAATTACTATTCTTATTTATGAGGGTAAACTCTTTATTTTGAAAATGACAGCTTTTCTCTCTTCACTACTTGCTTTTATTTCATCACTTAGCGTTAGAACATCCATCCTTTTCTCTTTTTACATGAATTTTGTAACAATTTCATTTCACAATATATGCCTATTCTCAGTATTTAGCACAAGTTTCCACGTCTATTTTGTGATATCTCGCTGTTAAGTAACAATAGAAGTAAAATGCATCACAAGTGGTGCTTCAAACTGCACTCCATTTTTTCCTCTTTTCTCTCTGTTTTGCATTACTTCAGCATTTGGTTGTTTCTTCACTTCAGGGGAAAATAGCAAAAAACTGAATGAGCTCCTTATGCCTTCTTAACTTCTCAGGACCTCTGAATAAAGCTCCTTCCACTTTCCACGCATTTATAAGGCTTCTCCCCAGAGTGAGTTCTTTGATGTAACCTAAGATCATCACTGTGACTAAAGCTCTTTCCACATTCCATGCATTTATGTGGTTTCTCCCCAGTGTGTTATTTGGTGTGACCTAAGGTTGCTACTCTGACTAAAGCTCTGTCCACATTCCATGCATTTATGTGGTTTCTCCCCAGTGTGTTATTTGGTGTGACCTAAGGTTGCTACTCTGACTAAAGCTCTGTCCACATTCCATGCATTTATGTGGTTTCTCCCCAGTGTGTTATTTGGTGTGACCTAAGGTTGCTACTCTGACTAAAGCTCTGTCCACATTCCATGCATTTATGTGGTTTCTCCCCAGTGTGTTATTTGGTGTGACCTAAGGTTGCTACTCTGACTAAAGCTCTGTCCACATTCCATGCATTTATGTGGTTTCTCCCCAGTGTGTTATTTGGTGTGACCTAAGGTTGCTACTCTGACTAAAGCTCTGTCCACATTCCATGCATTTATGTGGTTTCTCCCCAGTGTGTTATTTGGTGTGACCTAAGGTTGCTACTCTGACTAAAGCTCTGTCCACATTCCATGCATTTATGTGGTTTCTCCCCAGTGTGTTATTTGGTGTGACCTAAGGTTGCTACTCTGACTAAAGCTCTGTCCACATTCCATGCATTTATGTGGTTTCTCCCCAGTGTGTTATTTGGTGTGACCTAAGGTTGCTACTCTGACTAAAGCTCTGTCCACATTCCATGCATTTATGTGGTTTCTCCCCAGTGTGTTATTTGGTGTGACCTAAGGTTGCTACTCTGACTAAAGCTCTGTCCACATTCCATGCATTTATGTGGTTTCTCCCCAGTGTGTTATTTGGTGTGACCTAAGGTTGCTACTCTGACTAAAGCTCTGTCCACATTCCATGCATTTATGTGGTTTCTCCCCAGTGTGTTATTTGGTGTGACCTAAGGTTGCTACTCTGACTAAAGCTCTGTCCACATTCCATGCATTTATGTGGTTTCTCCCCAGTGTGTTATTTGGTGTGACCTAAGGTTGCTACTCTGACTAAAGCTCTGTCCACATTCCATGCATTTATGTGGTTTCTCCCCAGTGTGTTATTTGGTGTGACCTAAGGTTGCTACTCTGACTAAAGCTCTGTCCACATTCCATGCATTTATGTGGTTTCTCCCCAGTGTGTTATTTGGTGTGACCTAAGGTTGCTACTCTGACTAAAGCTCTGTCCACATTCCATGCATTTATGTGGTTTCTCCCCAGTGTGTTATTTGGTGTGACCTAAGGTTGCTACTCTGACTAAAGCTCTGTCCACATTCCATGCATTTATGTGGTTTCTCCCCAGTGTGTTATTTGGTGTGACCTAAGGTTGCTACTCTGACTAAAGCTCTGTCCACATTCCATGCATTTATGTGGTTTCTCCCCAGTGTGATTTCTTTGTTGTGACCTAAGGAAATCACTGCGACTAAAACTCTTTCCAAATTCCATGCATTTATGTGGTTTCTCCCCAGTGTGAGTTCTTTGATGTAATCTAAGGACACCGCTGTGACTAAAGCTCTTTCCACATTCTATGCATTTATATGGTTTCTCCCCAGTGTGAGTTCTTTTGTTTATTTGGAGGCTCTTGTTCTGACTGAAACTCTTTCCACGTTTCTCCCCTTCAAGTGTTCTTTGATGTCTACTGATGTGACATGCATTTACATGTTTTCTCCCCTGCGTCAGTCCTTTTATGTAAAGTCCATGCGTGGCCTCTCCGATTTTCAATGCCCTGTTTTCTTGCTTGATTATGAGTTCTTGCCCAGGTTGCCCCAGATGTTGCTGGGCAATTCTTCTCGTTTTCATCATCTGGTAGATTAGAAAAAGAAGAGAAACAACTACTTCCAAAATCTGTGGGAATAAAGACTAATGTGTTTGGTCTCCAACTGAGTTACAGAGGAGAAAGGAAAGACAGGCAAAAAAAGGTGAGGGAAGAGAATCATCAGGAACGTCTGAAAACAGGATAGAAAGCAGAGATCATCAGCGAAATAGTTACTGACGTAACAGAATCTTAGAACTGCAGAGCTAGAACATTCTGCTGCCTAAACGGCCCTTCTTGAATAATGAATTAAATCAGATACAAGTTATTCAACTCAAGCCACAGATGTCACCAGGAGGTCTTCTCTAGAGCCTGGAAATGGTCAACAGGGACTCAAATGGGAAGGAGCCTTTTTCCAGCAGTAGAGGTAGCAGAAAACCATGAAGACCTTCAAACATTGACAGAATTTATATATAACAGTCGAGGAGACAAAGATATCTGGGAGAATGTCACTATGGATATAAGGTAAACGTTCCCCTTAACATTTAGTCCAGTTGTGTCTGACTCTAGGGGCCGGTGCTCATCCCTGTTTCCTAGCTGTAGAGCCGGCGTTTGTCGGTAGAGATCTTCCATGGTCACATGGCCAGTGTGACTTAGACATGGAACCCTTCGCACTGAGATAGTACCTATTTTTCTACACGCATTTGCATGCTTTCTAACTGCTAGGTTGGCAGGAGCTGGGACAGGCAACAGGAGGTCACTCCATCCTTTGGATTTGATCTTACGACTGCTGGTCTTCTGATCCTGCAGCATAGAGGCTTCTGCGGCTTAACCCGCAGCGCCACCACGTCCCACATTACTATGGACATACAAGCAAAATTAAAGGCTATTGTGAGATGGTTGGACAGTGTCATCGAAGATACCAGCATGAATTTGACCCAACTCTGGGAGGTAGTGGAATAAAGGAGGGCCTGGTGTGCTCTGGTCCATGGAGTTACGGTCGGACACGTCTTAACGAATAAACAAGAACAAGGTTTCCCTCATGAATATGGTTTTTGCAACAAAAGTTAGCCACTTATAAGATGCGCCTGCATCATGGCGGCCTGTGTGGATATATGAATCAGAAATGTTATATTTACCAAGATGCCTCAAAAGGACTAGTATGGGATCATGATGTTTTAGCAGTTTCTAAAATCTGCTATCAAGGGACAAGTGTTAGGACCATGTTTTGAAGGAACTTTTTCCTGATGTTTTGCCAGTCTCTGTGGCCAGCATCTTCAGAGGACTGGAGTAGGAACTCTGTTCAGGCTCTGTTGCTGTTTTTTGGATAGTTGAGTATTTATAGCTGTGGGAACAGCTTTTGTCTTTTTTCAGAAGATCATCATGTTTTTGTTGTGATGGGGGGGTAGAGTTAGTTGATCTTTTGCAAGCTGTATTTTTCAGTATTGGGCGCCAGGCTGTGTTCTGTTTTAGGCCTTCTCCCTTTTTGTTGAAATTTTATTGATATTTATGGATTTCAATGGCTTCCCTGTGCAGTCTAACATACAGATTGCTGGTGTTGTCCAGTACTTCAGTATTTTGAAATACAATTTCATGTCCAGCTTGTTTTACAGCATGTTTGGCTACTGCAGATTTTTCCAGTTGTTTTAGTCTGCAGTGTCTCTCATGCTCTTTGATTCTGGTGTGAGTGCTCCGTTTTGTGGTTCCAATATATACTTGTCCACAACTGCAAGGTCTCTGGTATACTCCTGCAGTGGTGAGGGGGTCCCTTTTGTCCTTTGCTGACCGTAATATTTGTTGTATTTTTGTGGTCGGTCTGAATAGTGTTTGGAGGTTGTGTTTTTTCAAAAGTTTCCCTTTGCGGTTCGTGACACCTTTTATGTATGGCAGAAATATTTGTGGGTGGCTGTTTTACCTCTTCAGTTTTGTGTTGTTTTCTTAGTTTGATGGCTCTTTCGATTTGAAACAGCAACAGGGCCTGGACAGAGTTCCTACTCCAGTCCTCTGAAGATGCTGGCCACAGAGATTGGTGAAACATGAGGAAGAACAACCCTCAGAACCCGGCAGAAGATCCCGAGAAAACCACAACAACCAAAAGATAGAGCTGTTAAGACCTTCTACACGCCTTGTTCTTTCTGATCCTCCTGTTTGGCCACTACTAACCATAGAAGAGACTAAAGATCTAATCACTCAATTACAAGCTGGAAAAGCAGTTGGCCCTGATGCCATCCCACCAGACTTTGTGAACCGGACTGGTGGGCTTCCCTTTTCACAGCTATAGCTAATACTGGGATCTTGCCAAAAGTCTGGACCAATGCAATTCTTGCCCTCATTGATTAAAAAAGGGGACCCTCACCTCCCAGAAAACTCCAGTAATTATCAGTAATTAGGAAACTCTATGCAAAACAGCTAGTAATTAAACTTAATTCCTGGATCAATAATCAAGCATTGCCTGCCCCTGAGCAAGCTTGTTTCAGGAAAGGTAAGGCCACAGTAGATAACTGCTTCATACTTTCGTATCTTATTAACAAAACAGTTAAACATGAAAATTCTAAATTGTATGTGGCTCTCCTTGACTGAAAGGCAGCTTTCGATTTGGTTCAGTAGAGATTTCGCAGAGATTCTCTGTGAAAAACATGAAAATAAGGGCATAGATAAAAAAAAGACTGTTCCCTCATAAGAATTTTATACTCTTGTCACAACATGCTCAGTCCGTGCCTCTTGGAAAGGTGAGTTATCTAATCAATTTCCAACCACCAAGGGAGTGAAGCAAGGCTTCATTCTTGCTCCCTCCTTATTCAACCTATTTATGAATGACCCAGCCCCCTTTCTAGCCAGTGTGGAGGGTCATCCACCAAAATTGGGGATGCATGGTGTCCTGTTATTGCTTTATGCCGACGATGTTGTTATCTCACATACTTATTTGAAATGTTTAATTAACAGAACTGTGGAATACCTGGACAAAAACAAAATGGAACTAAATTATAATGAACTTTGGTTTTCTCAAAGTCGTGGAAGCAATTTCAATGGAATGTGAATGGGCACAAAATCAAAGAGGTGAAAGATCATAACTACCTAGGCATCCTGTTCTATTACAAACATTCCTGGTCTCCCCATCGCAAAATGGTTATAAACGTAGCGAGGTTCACTGGTCAGGCAATACTTCGTTTATATTATAATTATGGCAATTGTTAAGTTCCACGGCTTTACAGGTTTTTAAATCCTAAATTATCCCACAAATATCGTATGGCATCCCAATCTGGTTAAATGCCATTAACAATTGAACAATCTCAATTCTTAAATAAAGTGCTAGGGCTAACAAACTGTGTTCCCTAATCAAGTGCTAGGGCTACCAAACTGTGTTCCCTAATCGATGCTTTGTCCAGAGACTGGATTTTCCTCTTGGGAAATGATAGCCTGGCTGAGATTCTGGAAAGGATCGCAGATTTCCTCAACTCAACTGCGATTTTCCTCTTTGGAAATGATAGCCTGGCTGAGATTCTGGAAAGGATTGCAGATTTCCTCAACTCAATTGTGAGAAAGCAAAGTCTACTTTAAATTAAATGTTTTGGGGGATCGGTATTCTGCTTTCTTCCCTCCAGCACTTTGTATGAGTGGGACACTTAATGATACAGTTTGGTTATTTGTTTTTTCTCTTTCGTACCAATAAAGGTTTGTTTGTCTGTCAGCAGACTTGGTTGGTAGGTATCGTGATTATCGGGATAGAACTTATGAAGATCTGAATTCAGGTTCATGGACTTGGTCTTGGATAACTTCATGGATGCTGGATTTCTCCACCCTACTATACGTTGTAATTGGAATGGTGGTTCTTACTATTTTGGGATTATTTGTAAGTGCTACGTTCTAGACTTTTGCCTCTGGGTGTTGGTTTTTGTACAACTCCAAGCCCAGGAAAGTCTAAACAAAAATGAGCAGATTTAAATTCAACATTATTTCTATTGTCAGAGTTTAAAAAGGGTGGCATGATACCTGAATATGTTCAAAATTAGTTTTTTTTCTGGTTTTGGAGTAAAAAAATTATTCTACATATTATGATCTTAGCAACATTACTTCTCTTGACTTTTGTATTAAATCAGAGGCCTATATTTCACTCCTTCCACCCCCTCACCTTTCAACTAGCAGATGGCCCATTTAGGAATGCCACCCAGAGGCCAAACACAGATAGAATCACAGAATCATGGAAAAGTGCAGTTGGAAGGGGCCAAAAGGCCATCAAGTCCGATCCCCTGCTCAGCGCAGGAATACAGTCAAAACAGATCTGCCAGGTGACGATCAAAGTTTTTCTTGAATGCCTCCAGTGTTGGAGCACTTCAAAATACTCAAAACATAAAACCCAGCACAGAGCCGGAGGCTAAAGTCCATACATCTGGACCCTGTTTAGTAACAGATACATATTAATAAGATAAGGAAATTGGGATACACTTTCTTCCATACAAGGGACGTGGTGGCGGTGTGGGCTAAACGGCAGAAGCCTGTGCTGCAGGGTCAGAAGACCAAGCAGTCGCTTTGCAATGATCTGTTCTCTTATTTGGGAACTGATCATTGCAAAGTAATGATTTTCAGACAGCTGATTGGCCATTTCAAAATGGTCATCGGATAAACAAAATGGATGCTCATTGTTTTCTGGGACGGATTCCTCGCTGCACAGGCAGCGAAAATTGCCGTGCTATGGAGCATCTTCGCTGGACTGTGAGTTTCAAACCCCTAGGAACACATTAATCGGGTTTTAATGCGTTTCTATGGGCTTTTTAAAATTGCATTACGGCGTTTT